CCTTCACGCCGGGGAGGATCGCTCCGCCGTGACATCACGCGATTTCCATGGCAACCGCCTGGGACATCATCGGGGAGCTTTTTGACATCACGGCGAAGGGAGATGCAGGTTGTGGCCGGTGCTCAGGAGGGGGCAGGCAGGGCTCCCCCCGGCACTGCCGGGGCTGGGCCTGGGCGGGCTGCGGGTGGAGATGCTCAGCAGCCCCATGGGGTCCCCGTCCTGTCCCGGGCTGGTCCCCCCTGTGCCCCCAGTCGCTGCTCCAGGCCTTGGCAATGCCAATGTCTCCTGCTGCCTTCCCCACAGTGGCCAAGGCGCCTGGCTTGGTGGCCGCATGGCGTGCCCAGGGCAGGTGGCCTGGCAGAGGGCATCGTGCCCCGCCGCGTGCCACTCTCTGGTGGCTGAGTGGAGCCACACGCGAGGCTTTGGCATGAGATGCCAAGGATGGAAGGATGCCAGCACTGTGCCCATGGCTCCCCGCATCCCGCTGGAATGGGGAGAGCAGCTGGGATGGGGAGAGCTGGTGCTCCCAGCCCAGGGAGGCAACTTTTGGCCAGTGGGTAAAGTCACCTTGTGGCCACAAGGCTCCGAGGCTCCTCTCCGCGGCTCCCGTCTCGCCTTTGTTCAGCTCAGCAGCGCGGCTCCTGCCAGCACCAGCGCTGCAAAAACCTCCGGGAAAAAGAGCAGCTCCGGCTCATGCGTTCGGCTGGCAGCTCAGTGCCACGGCACCGCTCTGCTTCCTGATACCGCTTCCCTATCCCAGCTGCCAGCAGCTGCTGGAAAAGCAGCGGCCAGGCTGGATGAGAGGTGAGGAGCACCGGAGGAAGCAGCACTGAGCTCGGCGCCCGGGTCTTGTCCTGCTGGAGTGGCCTGCTAGGGTCGAGCTCTACAGCTCTCATTTCTGGAGCTAGAAAAACAAAATGCAAATGAGCAGCCCCTGGGCTAAGACAAAACCTATTCTTAAAGTTTTTGTCTTGTTAAGCAAGGAAATAGAGTGCCAAATAGGCTTTGTTAAGTGGCAGTCTAATTAATAATTTAAAATCTTGTAGCTGTCTTTCATTAGAATTTATCTGTACATCAACCACAAAAT